TCCCCTACAGGTGGGATATTTGTGGCGTGAAATGTGACAGCATTGTTTGGTACAAATTTTCCCAAAATGTTTACATATTTCCCCATAGTTCCCCATCGTTTTCCAAGATTTTTCTTCATTTCTCCATATGGCAGTGGGTCAAAACCTTGTACCCCTGGTGAACATCAAAATAGCTGGTAAATGGATGTTCATCCCCACTAAAAATGGTATTAATAGGTATTGACCCATACCCATATTTCCCAGCCTGGGAGTCCCAGCATATTTCCCCATCCCCGGAATCCCTTTGTCGGACCACGAAAAAACGCAGTTCTGCCAGTTCTGTCCGACATCGATTGCAGCAATTTCTTCAACGTTGAACGTCCTCAACACTGCTGGGAACCGTCTTGAGGACACCCCCGGGGGCTTGGCGACGCCATTGTGTCACGTAGTATCGTGTATCCTCCATTGTAACTGTATTGATATTGTTTGTATATGTTTATATATTTCATACTTCATTATAGCTCTTAATTTGGTTATAATATAGTTTATAATGGTTTGCAATAGTTTTCAGTAATTGATGTTGAATATTTAATATAACCAGTGTGAACCCTCAAAGAACTCTGCTTGTTGTGGACCGCTTTTCTTCTCAGTATTCTGTTCGGGTTGGTCTGCCAGTTTGCCTCCATCAGATTTTGCTGTAGATGTTTTTTTTCCCTGAAAACAGGGTACCTTAAAAAGTGCCTGGTTTGATTCTGATGTTCTCCGTTACCCATCATATTAAATATACCTACATATATACACTCATTCCGCATGTATATGTATATTTAATACTATATAAGACTATATCTATATTCTGAATAAGCATACACCCACAGACACATACATGCATGCATACATACATACATACACAGACATACAGACAGACATACAGACATACAGACATACAGACATACAGACATACATACATACATACATACAGACAGACATACATACATACATACACACATACACACATGCATGCATGCATGCATGCATGCATACATACATACATACACACACACAGACATACATGCACACATACATACATGCACACATACACACATGCATGCATGCATGCATGCGTACGTACGTACGTACGTACATACATACATACAGACATTCATACATATATACATGCATACATACATACAAACATACATACATACATGTATACATGTACTCAATGTATATATATATGATATCAATCCTCCATTTCTGCAGAACTCTTATTCGGTTTTCTTTTTTCAGTTCTCCGTCCCAGGACCTGCAAGAGCTGACACCTCTACGGCTATCGACCTTGGACTTGTCTGAGAACAAGATCCGTCAGGCCATGTCTGGGAAAGCTTCCGTCAGGACATATCTGGACATATCTGGGAATTTGGATATCCCAATAGTATCTATATAGTATATATATATAGAATCTATATAGTATCCAAATATCCCAATATATAATAGTATCCATATCCCAATATATATATATAGTATAGTATAGTATATATATATAGTATCTATATAGAAAATATAGAATTATATATTTATTGGGGAATATCATCAGAAAGATATGGTTATAGCCGGTTTTTAGGATGGTCATGATGATTGCGTTTCTTTTTTCACAGGGATTTGATGTTTTCTGACCATTGAAACGATTCACGTTCGGTGATGAAATCCAGAGTGTCTGGTGCTAAACGCAGGGAATGGATGGGTTGCTGGGGGTTGCTGGGATGATTATTGATAGATAGCCAGTGGATCATTCCCGAAAATTCCCTGCGTAGAACGCACCAGTAAGTTGATCAACATTGGCCAAACTTTCTGCCAGTTCCTGTCACAGAAATATGCAGGTCGGTGAGCTCAAAGAAGTGATCTCAGGACGACAGTATTCCAGAGCGTTTATGATGCGACACGTGATGATCGTAAGGGTCGTTCGATTCAATCTCCACGTTCAGGTTGATTGTCACATAGTGTCAGCTATAGATTCTATTGTTGATGGTTAGCAAATTTCCCACATTCACCTCACCATAGAATTTCTATAGTTGATGCGAAACGTGATCATCCCAAATGATGCGTGATCACGCTGCCATGATTGCCATGACGTAGGGAACTTCCGTTTCCCCAGGAGATGTCCTGCGCCGCGTGACTCTGCAAGGGTCGGATGCGCTTTTTTTTATTAAGGTCAAATTATGATGATCCTATATGATCCTATAGTGGTAAGTTACATGTCTATAGATATTTGTAGTGCTCTGATCTATAATATATTTATAATATAATATATGATGTATATAATTAATTATATATAATATATAATATATGTAGTGCTCAATGTATATCCTATTGCGATGCTGTAACATAATATGCCTCATTTCTGGCTTGTCAGCTGTGGGCCTGTGTTTTTCAGCGAAGCCAGGAATCCCTTTGCCTTCCATGATCGACGCTATCGTAGCGCTGTTGTCCTTTGCAGCACTGCCATAGAGGCGAACGGAAGGTGTGGGAAATCTCTGGTCATCCTCCAAGGTTTCTGCCGGGGTGAATGGTTAAAGTACGCTATGTGAAAAAACAGCTACGGTCACCTACGAAGTTCATAGTGCAGCGAAGATATTTCATGATATTTAATTCGAATTCAAATCTGTACTGGTTGGTGGTTTCAAACATTTTTTATGTTCCATTTCATATATGGGATGTCATCCTTCCCATTGACTTTCACATTGTTCAGAGGGGTAGGTTGAAACCACCAACCAGTCATTATTACTAACCATCATTAACCATCTATAACCATCATCATTAGCCATTATTAACAGTATATTCACCACATTTCTTAACAGTAATTGGAGTTTCCTAATATCTTCATACCCCATGACGGATCCGGCTGGTGCTGGTAGATTAATGCTAACATGACTGGGGTTAATCTTGATGGGATCCATGGCACACCATTTTTTTCGCAGCACCGTGAATGGATCCGTCATGGCTGGAATTTTTGGAATACCCCACGCTGGGACGACCGACCGACAGGAGATTGATGGTCGCGAAGTGCTGCCTCAGGAGACGTGGCGCCTGGTCGTTGCGGTCAGCCGAACTTCCGAGTCAGCTGAGGTCGACACCGAGTCAGAGAGGTTTCTCAGTCAGGTGTCATTTCCAGAATTGGAAGAACATCTGCGGTAAAAGCAATGGTACCAATGTAAAACGACTGTTTAAAGTATACTGAAAATTGAGGTGAATGTTGATTTCCCCTTGAATCGAGCTGATCATTGAATTTGAGCTGTTCAAAGGCCGATTGATTTGCAGGAGCGAGACTTTGTCAGACGGCTGGACGAACAGAAGCGCAAACTAAATGTCGCATCCTTAGGGAGAGAAGAGCACGGAATCATTTGTGCTTGGCACTCCATTAGCATGTGGTGCTTGGCAGGCACAGCGCAAAAAACATCTGAACCGGGCAGCTACGGATGGAAGACCAAGAAATCTTGGTGCCATGCCCGAGAAGGCACTTTGACGGGACAATGTGAGATGTGACAATCTATGCAACGGAACTCAGACTTGCTTTGAGAGTTCCTGGCGTTGATGTTTGGAACTTTGTCATTCTTGTGCGCAGCCGAAACACCTCATACATCAGCTTATTTTTTTTAATGATGTTTGTCGCAATGATGTACGACCATATGACTTGTTCAAAGTGCATCTCTTTGTTTCCACGTACTTTATCTTTCAGACGACAATATTAGAACAAGTTACCTCAAATTGATCTCATATCTTTGATATTATGACTTTCAGAGGGAACGGCCAGACACATTGCTTCGCAGCCACCATGGCGATCCAGCGTAGAGTTTGTTTGCTGGTTCTTGGTTTCTCCCTCACAGCAGGCTTCATTGATTTGGTGACCTTGGTGCACTTCAGTCAATTCGCAGGTTTGCAAACTGGCAACATGATTCTGATCGGAAGGGACTTGTATCGACTCACCCTGCCAGATGAGTCAAAAACGGAGCTTTTGAAGGCCATTGCTTTTCACGTTGCGACGCTCATAAGCCACTTCGCTGGTGTCCTATGCTTTTGCGCATTGGCCCACACATGCAAGGGCCCAGTACGTGTTGGAGCTTGGTTAAAAGGACGCCCAGTCCGTGTTGGGGCGGTGCTAGTGGGAGTTTTGACTCTTTCTGGTGCACTTCTAGATCTTTTGTCCAAGGGGAATGAGTGGAGTGTTTGCTTCATCGCAGCTTCCATGGGGGCCATGAACTTTATTCCCTCGCCCAACTCGGAACTTGGCAGCAAGCTTTTTTTGATGACTGTACTGACCACCGGAAATCTGCAGAAATCTGCCAAGATGCTGTTCAAGTTGCTGATTTGCCAGCGTTTTACAGATGCTGAGAAGCAACAGACGTGCTGTGCTGTGACGACCATTTTCGGTACCATCCTGGGTGCCCTTTTGGGTGCACTGGCGCTCTTTGGAAATCCTTTCGCTTCGAAGCCATACGGCGACTCGATCTACTTGCTGCTGATGTCTCCTGTGCAAACAGTTTTGCTCTGTTTGCACGACCACATGTTTCGCCCGCCAACCTCTGATTTCAATCAAGCTTCGACGAGCCTCGCTGCAGTGCCTTCATCGGAAGCATGACTCAAACAGCGAACGACCCCAGCGAGATGAGGTATTTTGATATGGCCCCCTTGATGGTACAATTGACAATGTGATAACATATGATAATGATAAATATTATATATATATATATATAAATAACATGAATCAGTTAAAGTGGGTATTTCGTCCGTCAACAGGATAGGAATGCACTGGTCCAAAGTAGTCCTAAGTCAAAGCTACGTGTTTTTCGATCTTTTTCGGTGATCCAGGCACATCTTCCATTTCAGCTGACCGTTTCACATGTCGAAGCAGAATCTCTTTGAACTTTCCATAGTGAAAGCTGCACACCTGCTGTAGTCAATTCCGCGACGAGAAACGAGTGCAGACTGTGCTTGGTAGGACCAGCTTGACTTGTAAGAAAGCGAATACACACGCACACCCACATAATCACATATATTATATATATATATATTATATATATATTTATTATATGTATATGTATGTAATATGCCATCAACAACTGTAGTGACTGAGGTATATATATATATATATATATATCATGATACATCCAACTGGCGTTTTGACTTTTGCTTGTTCTGTTGTCAGGGATCCGGCCGTCAACTGAAGCCGGCTGAAGGCCGGATGCTGACTGTTTGTCTGGCTGCTGTGTTTCCGACGAGTGACAGTTGCGGGCTGCTGCGCGGGCTGCTGCAGGCGAAAGTTGGGGGCTACAGGACATCGATTTTCCAAGTTTGCTCATGAATGTTTGTGTTTCGATTCAACGAGAGTGTCCAAAATGGCTTGTGAGCTTTGAAAATTATGGCATTATGGATCCTTTTGAATCAGCACATAGACCTGAAGCAAGACAGCTTTTTGCAATCCCGGCGTAAAAAGTTCACACATGAAACCTGTGGAAACCTGTGACAAAGATTCCTGCAGATTTGAGCCATAGGACTGGAAATTCTGACATGACTTGTTTGAAGATGATCTAACGCTACGACAGAGCTGAACATGCCTTGTAGATAGAGCCCTGACAGCTTCCACAGGGTAGCTTGTGTACCAGGTGACCCTACAAATCAGCAGATAGCTTAACGACTTGAAGTTGTTATGAAGATGTCAGGATCCCGTATGTCACCGAATTTATGCATGTTATGCCAGGAATCGTCTGGCTTTAAATGCCAAAAAGGTAGGACAGTCACAATTTGAGCTGTAGACTCGCCCTGAAAAGAAATTCAGCACTTGCTCTCCGAAAGAAGAAATCTCGCCAAGGGTGCTGAGTGCTGCCGCTCATTTTTTTCCTATAGGTCCTATGCCATTTGCATTGTTTTGCATTGTTTTGAATCATTGTGCATCTTTATTGTCAAACATGATAAACATGCTTCCTGGCTAGTCATTTTCAGCGATCTGCTGCCGGCTCAGCTCTGTAAAACATGGCGGGGCAAATCCCGCGACCCACCAATGTTGGGCACCCAGCAAACTGATGGCATGAGGATGGAAGATGTCAGACGCGAGGAAGATCAATGTGAGTCTTTTTGAGCAGTTTGCCAGAGGCTCGATGGGGGTGAAACCTAAGTCATGTCCCGTCATTTGGCTCCCCCAATAGCTGGAGGGTTTATTTCACGGACAATCTTATATGAAAATCATTGAACATCCAATAGCTGGATGGTTTATTTCATGGAAAATCCTCTGAACATCCGAAAATGACATGGATTGTTTAGAGTTTAGGGCTACCCCCATGTTTCAAAACGAAAAGCCACGGAACCCCTTTACCGTTTCCCAGGTGGAAACGACCAATACTGGGACCACCTACCACATCCAGGAGGATGGCAGTAAGGCGGGGGTCAACAAAAATAAGAACAGGCCGATGTCATCGATGATCGACTGATGCAGTTGTTGTATCCCATATGCTCCATGGTGCTGGAATATGAATCCCATCATTTACCCCATTTTTATGGCCCAAATTTAGGTAAATGTTCTATACATGGAGCATATGGGTATGTTTTTTAAATTACTTGTATGAAATGTTACCATGATTTAGCCATCATTTAGGCTGTCTAATATGGTGGAATCATATTTTATATCATATTCCAACTGTGGTCCAATGCTGTAGGCTACAGAATCTATATTCACAAAATATATGTATAACTTTGGCTGGGAAATATGAATATGAACGACATACTTAAAACTTCATGTTTATCAATATTTGTGATCTGCTATAAAGTATTCAGAACAGGTTCAGCAGATTCATAAAGATGTGTATATATATATAATATAATATATATATATACCTATACATATATATATATATACATATACATACTTATAACGATTCTATACAATTCTAACATGTTACTTGCTCAGAATTGCCTGAGGTGATCGCTGGAACCCGGCGGCCGGATGGCACCTATCGAAAGCCCGTGCGAGTCCGGGCAGGCTACACTCCTTTGGAGGAGAACTTGTACAAAGGTCCTGAGGCGCAGAAGCGTTGCTCCATCGCTGGAGTTTAGGCTATCAACATCGTGCTGACGTGGTGCTACCGAGATGTGCTGTTTTTTCCTCTTGTGATTCATGTTTGTTTTTCTATGGGAGGTGCAGCAGCGAGCACAAGCAAGGTCCAATGGACAGTTCATGACAGTTCTGACATGACGGGACAAGCAGCCAGCAGATCCGGTGATGCCCAAGTCTCAAGGAAAAAGTTGAAAATGATTGGGGCAAGCATAGGTTTTTGGACGAGGACAGAGTGATGGTTCATCACAGTTCCAAAGTCAGTAGATTCAAACATCCAAGAAGCGGACGAAGGGAGATTCTGCAAGAATTCCCAAGCATTTTGGGGGTAGAAACCATGGTTTCCGATGAAGATTTTCCCTTAAAGCAACAGTGGTGTCCCAATCTTGCAGGGGAATTCCTGGACTTGGCCCAGAGACACAACGCCCATCTGCGAGGCCGGGGAGTAATATATGGAAAAGGTCTACATTGATCGAACACCTATGGAAAAGCTTGGAAAACCTATGGAGAACCCATTGGAAAACTCATAGTATAGTTCAGTATAAAGAATACGATTGATGTTCTATCACTTTTCCCTACGCTTTGATCAAATGATGGAATGATGCAGGAGTGGTCACATTCCTGGCATGGTTGAGAGCTGAGATGGGAAGTGGATCATGAGTGGCATTCACTGAACATCATGTCTTTTGGGGGTTTTACCATCAATACCTTGCAATGGCCAGCATTGAACCACCACTTTTATGACTTTTGCAGCCTGGAAGATTGGGTGCTGAGCAGCCTTTGAAAACAAAGGCGCCGGACAGCGAACCGAAGGCAAAGCCAAAAGCATCTTGTTTGCAAGAAGCACAATACCGCAGAGCGACCATGAGAGGAATGAAGGCGTAAAGATCAGCAATAATGTCCCTGTGAATCCCAAGTATGATCTATTTCAAGACAAGTATTCTCAGGGTGTGGTAAACCCAACTCATGGGTTTTCTGTGTTTTTCATGCTGACTCAATGAGGTACTTAAGTCATGGGAGATGGTGCCAGGTTAGGTTCATTTAGGTTCCCAGACTTTGACCATTTGACCCCAAAGGGGGCTGGCAAGCCCAAGGCAAAGCCGAAGGAGCCGAAGGAGCCGAAACCGCAGGCGCCCAAGGCGGAGGTCAAAGCAAAGGCAGCGCCCAAGGCAGAGGCAAAAGCTGAGCCTGCTGCGACCTCAGGCGCCTCAGGCAGGAAATGCACATCTCAAATTTCTGAACACCCTGGATCAATAAGCTCCGAGTTGATTTGGTAAATTTGGTGTGCCAGATAAATACATTCTAAATATGTGGATTAGATATATTCTGATATAGTTGAGTTCCAATTTACACTAACCATAAATTACCATAGAATAATATGAGTATCACTGAGTGATACTGTATCACTATGGACCTCCGAATTTTCACCAAGGCCAAACCGGAGAATCGCCTGAGAAACCTCCGAGACTTGGCGTTGAAAATGGCCAGGTTCTGTCAGGTTCGTGTGAAAAGTCGGGAATGTGATGGTGAAAATTGGTGAAAATTGTGATGACCCACAGGATCCATGGTGCTGGTATATATGCTAACATAAAGGGGGTATATTGATGGGATCCATGTTACCATATATAGCATACATGGATCCTATGGGTGATGAGAAAATGAACTTTTGGGGTATTCCACTTTCAGATAAACCGTGACACACCTTTTCTGGGGGAGCTGTGATCAAAACGCAAAGAAGCAAACAAGGTTCCGGCGCTGATAGCGGACCCGTGTTTTTTTAATGGTTTTTATATACGTCATCTTTTATTGATGTGCTTAAAACTGTGGCGCCGTGACGATTTTGTTGTTTAGCCTTATAATAGAAATGTTGTTTTCGTCCCACGTTATGCTAGGAAATTATTCATTGACCATTGAATTCTATTGGTCGAAATATTCTGCAAACCTGGATTTGGAAAGCCGGGTTTTCACACAGCGTTTTGTGCTCTTCTTTCTCTCTTCATAGGTCTCAGCGTTTGCGTTTGTCAACTCTGGCTGCCAGTTTGGCTAGACTTCCTTTCAAGTCTGCTTTGTGGTTCCAACGATAGGCGAAGGACCACACATATTTTTGGATTCGTTTTGGTCACCTTGTCTTTGCTACTCAGGGAGAAGAAGGGTGTGGCAAGTGAGAAGAGACATGTTACAGCGTAGCATCAAACGCGTGTGGCAAGTGACAAGAGACATGTACAGGTAGTATAGCGTAGCATCAACAGCACCCATGTGCATGTGGCAAGTGACAGGAGACATTTTACAGCGTAGCATCAAGATACGTGTTACAGTGTAGCATCTGGCGTTACGGAGCTCTAGCTCCTGTGCCCCCAACCTCCCACCCCCAACCCCACCCGGTCCCCCAAGAAAGTCAGACTATCCTTCGTGCACAACTTCTAACTATTAACTGACGAGCGCAACTTCTAACTGACGTGCACATCTTCTGACTGACGTCCACAACTTCTAACTGACGCGCACAACTTCTAACTGACGTGCACAACTTCTAACTGACGCGCGCAACTTCTAACTGACATGGGATGCGGTAGCAAAAAAAAACAACAAAAACTGCGGGTCCGTTAACAGCGCCGGTAGCGCAAACAATGGACATAGCACATTATCAAAACTTGTTTTTCTTGTCCCAGGTAAGAAGCTTGCTGAGATTGACGCATTGGAGGTGGGGTCCACCCATGGATTTGTGGCTACAGGTGTCATGGCTCATGAAGGCTACCAAATGCCATGTCAGTTTCCAAGGCGTATGATTATGTTTTTGTCCGACTAATCATGTTTGTGGATCATTCTGTTCATATTAGGCGACTTTTCAAGTTGTTTCTCTAAAAAATCTGCCAGGAGCGGGCTGCAAGCGATCTCTCAGAGGCACGGAAAGCACAAATTTCCATGGAACAAAATAGACACATTCCTAATCCCAGAACATTTTCCAGGGCATTTGGATGTGTCTGAAATTTTGGTATACCCCCAAAATGGTTTTCAATATACTATCCTTTATCTAATTAGGAAACTGATCATCAGCTCCTGTATTCTGGGGTACCATATTCTCCGACAAAGCTGGAGATCGGCAGAGGAACAAAAGCAGAAGATCTCTCGAAAAGACGAGCTGCAAAAGGAGGCTGCTGGGGGTGTCTGTTTGGGTTTACCCGCAGCATCTCTCAGCTAATCAAACGTGGCTAGCTGGAAAATCCATGAAAATCCCCCGAATTCAATGGAAGCTTCCAGATGGGAACATCACCTCTGAATGGGACATGTTTCATTGACATGTTGACTGCCAGAGTTTAAGAGCCGCATTGACATGTGACAAGGTGGAAGATTTGGAGAAGGAGATTGCCCAACTACAAATCTAAAAAAAGAGAAATCAATATAGATTTGAGACAAAGTGGGCAATGCAACAATTGCAGGATGGGAATTATTCATATTCACGCTAAATAGATAGACGTAATCAATATGTTTTTTTTTCACAATCATGTATTTGAATGCTTTCGTTCCTGTATATTTTTTCAACGGCCAATATTTTGAAATGATATATTGAGAATACATATTTTCTTTAGCATATTATATTACAATAGCAACACAGTTGAAAACTGAAAAAAACACATTTGTTTTAATGATGAGAATAAACAACACTTATTTTGATATTGAGGAAAACTTCTATTTAACAAATATGTTAAATGTTCACAGTTTTGGGTCTAGAATTGTATGATTTAAAATTTAATTAAACTTTATGGTTTTATTTTATAATCAAAAATTAAAAGATTGAATGGTAAAAAATAGTTGAATTTGGACGGATGCATAATGTTGTATTAAAATTTAACATATCAAAATTTTGTTTTTGAAGTTTTACTCAAAACGAAATAGAATAACTATATCAACGCAAACTTAAATAATTTTAAATATATTATTCAAAACCTTATTTTGGATAATTAATTATTTCTTAAACGGATGGTGGGAGACGTGGACGGCAGGATCAAAACTATGCATCCAATCTGGCCACACATTACCCAAGTTTTGACCACGGCACCCTGAGAATTATCAGTGCAAAAATGACAGGGCTTCGCCATGGTTCGCCTCATTGATCTTGATGACATAATATATTATATATATACATATATGGCTATGGATCAATACCTATACATACCATTTTTAGGGGGATGAACATCCATTTACCAGCCATTTTGATGTTCACCAGGGGGATAGGGTTTTGACCCATCCCCATATTAATTAACCAACTTGAATTAATTTCAGGCCATTTCAGGCCATTGTGGGTTGTCACTCCTACTTTTGCCACCTTTTTCCCACCTTTTGAAAAAAATGTCCGGCTGCTTCGGCATTGCAAGTCACGCACCTGCGAAAACGTCCAGAACTGCGAGCAATTGGAGTAAAGTCCTAGGACTTTACACCTCTCACCGTACCCTGAACATCCCTGAACCCATTTGGAGAACGGTCAGCCATGAAGTATCGCTTGGAGGAAGGACGATTTCAATACGCAAAGCTGTCTGAAACTTGATACTGACTTAAAACCGATCATACGGATCGTTGCATCAGCATCGGTAGGTTGTAATGGCGCCATTTCAAGGATATATTTTCCATACCTTCCAAACGCCCCCGAGCTGAGTCATTTTTTCGCTGCGTCAATGGACACTGTCTTCAATTTTTTTTTAACGTGGTCCTTGCTTTTTCGGTTTCCTAAAATGGTCCCAAAATTGATGGTTCATGATGGAAAATCTTATTGAAGTGGATGATGAATGGGGATAGCCCTATTTTAGGAACCCCCCTCACTTGTGTAAACAATGTCTTGCCTGTTTGTGTCTGCCAACATGAAGTTGATCCGGTTGATCTCTGAGGATGCCATTTTTCTTTCT